TTAAAAACCATGTTTTCACTTTGTTTGTAACAGAATCCATTATATCAACATCATCAGATCTAGATATTGCGATATAGTCATTCAATAGTTTTGGATTTCCATTGATTGTAATCTTATCCATCACAACATTCGCATTTTTGATAACTGGTTTCCATTTTTGAACCGGAACTTGCGAATTATGAGATGTTGAACTAGCAATTGAAGAGTTATTTGCGAACTTATCAAATGCATTCTTGATTTGTTCCTCTGAAAACTTCCCACTTTGATATTTTCTTCCTTTCCCTTCAAACCAACGATTGACCGTACTTACATCAGTTTTTCCTTTTGTATATGAAACATTGGTTGGTTTTGAGACTGAAGGATTTGGAAAATTTGGTTGTTTTGGTGAAAATTTCACTTTGGCTTGAGTTGAGTTTTTCAAACTTGATGAAGTATTCGTGAATTTGCCAACATTTTGAAACTTTTGATTATTTGCAAATTTTTGCGAATTCTCAAATTTTCGATTGTTGTCATATTTGCGAATATATGGAACTTTGTCAACAGAGTTTATTGGTTTATGAAAACTTGAATATGTTTGTTTATTTTTGTTTTGAAATTTTGATGATGTTTTTGAAATTTGTTCTTTTTCAACTCTTGGTTTGTCATTAGACACAACTTGCCAGAAATTTGCTTTTCTTGCTTTTCTTTTTGAAACGTTATTTTCTGTTGAATAATTTCCAACCATCAATTTGAATTCATGTGAATTTAGTTTCACTTCAGACCTTGATTTTTCAACTTTTTCAAAAATTTTGTTTGATTTTTCACCTTTAACCACCCATTTTTGTAATGGTTTTTGTTTTTGAAACACATAAGGATTTTGAGTTAAATTGTTTTCTTCTGTGTTTTGATTTGCGAAAAAACCTTCTGTTATTGACTTTAGATTATCTTTTTCAATCATTTTGTTGAATTCAGGATGAACTTTCTCAGCATTTCCAGTAGTGACAAAAACTTGATTTGGAAAAATGGTTTTATCAGTACCTACAAAATTTGGATATACCACTGTGTTGGTTTCCAAACAATGTGCGCCTTTGTCATTTAAAATTTTTTCAAATTCTTTTGTATTTTCAAACACTTGATCAACCACAACTCTTTGAGGTGTTTCATTTGAATCTTTCTTTTCTTCTTTGTTCTCATCAGTATCATCAGATTTCCAGCTTTCAACTTCCACATTATCAAACTTACAATGTTGCGAAGTTGAAGGTTTATCAATTTCATCCTCTACTATCTAATCAACTATTATTTCTTTACCTTTGATCTTAGATGTGATATTAATGATTGACAATTGAGAACAATCCACCTCTTCTTCCTCTTCTATCTCACTGATTTCACTCACATTATCTGAATTTTCATCAATATCAGCACAAATGAATTGTGAGGCAAGAGTTGAATTTTCGGTTTTCTTTATGATTTTCACTTGTTCACTCTTTGTCAAACTTTTATTGACAATATTAACCAACTCATCAGCATTTAGAAACTCATCAATTTTGACAATACCGTATGAATATCTATCATCAGGTATGTTGTCAAATTGAGCAATTGTACTTTCGCAATCATAAGAAACAACATCAACTTTTTCACATTCATACTCAAGAAAAGGTAAAAGTTTCCTATGTTGTTTTTTGCTAATGTCAGAAAATGATGTAAAGCAGTTAATTTTGCATACAATCATTTTGCAAAATTACAATATATGTTTCTTTGTGCTAGCAACAACCTAACATCATTTGTAAGATTATTCCTATCACAATCTATATTTTTGATCTGTAATTCAAGTTTTTCTACTCTGCTCCTCTTTATTTCTAATTCTCTCCGTGTCTCACCTAGTTACAAATTTAATTTTTGAGCTTCAGTACTAGCAGACACAATAACATAATCAAAATAAGCCACAGTATCATCAAATGAAACAATTTCAACATCATAAGCAGCTAAAGGAATATTAAAAGATTCAAGTATTGCACGTACCTTGGTTGTCATGGGTGATTTATCTGTGGATCTGGATACAAAGCACCTTCCTGAAATTTCCTCTTCGCAATCTTCAAAACTTGCGAACATTGCTCCATGTGTGGGATGCCTCATTTCCTCATCATCAGATCCTGAAGACCAGATCTGATACGTTCCATTTTCTTCATCAGCAGATTCACCCTTCGCAACCAAAGACACTCCTTTGGTCTTAGCACGTATCTCTTCATTCTTTTCAGAGTAGTATGCTTCATCTTTAACTTTTTCCTTCTTCTCTTCTTTCTTTCGCAGCATGCAATCGGCTGCGAAGTGATTTGCACCATTGCAGTAGTGACAGTAAATCCCTGAATCACCTTTCAACTTCTTCTCTTCTTTCGCATCTTTTTGTTTCTCATCTGCTTTCTCCAATTTCTTCCTCTCCTCTCCTCCAGTTCTTATGACAGCATTCTTCACATCACTAGTCTTTCCTTTTGGATTAAAAGGCTTTTTGAAAAACTTCTTAACTCTGTTGTTTGAATAGAATGCCACAGCTTCATCATCAGAGTTGATCAAAAATCCTTCTTCATCTGAACCATCTTTTTCATTAACATCATTTTCTGATACCTTTGAAACAAGAGCCAAAGGACCTCCAATAACCTGTTTTGATTCTTCATACATTTCTGAAACCTCACATTCATGTGTTTTCAATTGATTGTAGAGATCATTCAATTTAGTTGTATCAAAACTTTGTTGTTTCTTAATCATCATGCTCACACTTCGCCATTCTTTGCAAAGACCCATAATGAAAGTTAAATTGAACTCCATAAGAGACCTAGTGATTCCATACCTATTGCAGCGAAACATAAGCTCATTCAGATGATCATAGTAATTTTCAAGAGTTTCTGCATCCTTTTGTCTGAATTCCTTCAATTCAACTAGACATTGCTTCACAGAGTTGATCTTTGTCTTTTCGCTACCTTGATACTTCTCTTTTAGAGTGTTCCAGATATCCTTGGCTGTTTTACAACTACGGATGTAATTATAAACCACAGGAGGTAGAGCACCTCTTAGTTCTCTCATGCACCTCTTTTCATTATTCTTCAGTCGTTTTTGTTGTTCAGCAACTTCAGCAGATCCAGTAGATGATCCAATTGATTGAACATTAGCAGGCGCTTGCATTGTTCCATCAATACAATTCCAAAGTTCTTCATCAATTCCATTTAAGTAATCTTCCATTCTATCAGCCCACTAATCATAGTATTCTGGAATTAACATCGGAATTTTGGTTGAGGAACCAAGCAAGTGAGAGAAGGAAGTCATTGTATTCATGTTGAAGTTCGCCATTGATGAACACAGAAATTTTCAGAAAGCTTGAAAAACTTGACGAAATAGAGAATTTTATCAAATGAATTGATCACAAATCACTAATTGATTACTTGACTTAACAATTCAAAGACAGGATCAATTCAAATCTGAAGATCAAAAGTGATTTTCAAAACCAAAATGCACGGAAAATTTAGAGTAAAGTTGCAACTCAAAAAGCAAATGATTCTAATCACGAAAATCAAATCAAAGCAATTTGAATCAGGCTCTGATACCAATTGATGAGAATTGTTATCGAGATTTGAGAAAGCAAAGTTAGATTTGAGTGATTGAATATTAAGAACACGAAGAGTAAATATTAATCAGATCTCATATTGATAAAGACTGATTACAAAATAAGCAGAAAAGAAATATCTGTTACGAAAAGTCCCTTTCTACTTCTAACCTCAGTCTCTATTTATAGGGAACATGAGTGTACAAAAAATATACTAAGTCTTGACATTTTCACTTCGCAAAACAGATGACTTAGTAAAATAACATAAAATGCGAAACTATACAATACACTATATTCGACTTTTACAATTTTACATCTACAGAAATGAGTTGTCTAATATATCTACATGACATATGACATAATATTAATGAGGAGTTGTATTAGAGTGACACTTGCCAAAAAAATATTAAAAATATTCATTTATTAGAATATGGATGATGTTAATATTACTTTTTTTGCAAGGAGGTGTTTTTATTTGCAGCCTCTTTAATATAAATGAATCGTGGAACACAAATATCTTTCATTTAAGATCTGAATTCATTGTTTTTAAATTTTATCATTTATATATGTTCATTAGGTCATTTACATAATTTCAATGATTTTCTTTTGTCAATTACATGATATATTATCATATTTATGCTATGATTTTCATTTATTTTTAATTTCCTTTGAATTATATAAATTTTATTCTAGCAACTCTCCTTATTAAAGAACTTTTTTGTATAACTTCGAACAACTAAATAATATTATTGAATTCCCATATCTTTACATTGTGTGTTCTTGATTTCATAAGCATTACTTTGAGTTTTTATATATTGCTTTGATCAATTGGTTTTCTTTACTAATTTTATCCTATATGTGTACCAAACAATTCAATATTTTATTAAGGAGATACCTTCTAATTTTTTTTTCCTACCACCTTCATACATACATAAATTTGTGATATTTATCATATTTAATAATTTTAATAATTTTTTATTATATTTGTTATTATCTAACGATTAGTTTTCTTTTGGAACCGGTCAATGAGATATATTAATAGAAGGAGAACAAAGCAGCCATAGTCAGTGGCATACAAAAGTTCAGTTCAAACATAGAAGCAAATAAAATAGGTAAACTAAAGCATAACGAAGAATATTCAAAAAAACAAAGGGCCTTGAGACCATGATGTCCAATTCAGCCTGTCAAATTTTCTCCTGTTTTTCATCCAAAGATAAGCCACTGATTTAATGATGTAAATGACTTTATCTGGTGGTAGCCGGTTTTTCTTGAAGACCTTTTCGTTCCTTGATTTCCAAATACTCCATAATGTTCCATAATAGATAGCTAAGATTATCTTTCTCCTCTTTTTGCACATCCTCCATCGAGAGATGGAATCCAGTACATCATTTACCGTGTGGAGTGGTACCAATTGTGTATTACACCATTTTTATACCCCTTCCAAGACACTCCTAGCATAAGTGGAATCCACCAGAACATGATCAGAACCTTCTTCAGATTCGTTGCACATGGGGCAAGTCAAAACTTCTAGAAGTACCCCTATCTTTGCTAGCTCCGAAGCGACTGATATCCTTCCCATTTTCGCCCTCCAAATAAAACAATTGACTTTCAATGGGACTTCCTTAAGCCAACAAAATTGGCCATCAGCGACAAGGGGTTTGTAATCCCATCTTTGTCTAAGATCACGGACCATGTATGTTCTCGTCGAGGTAATTCCACATCTCCAAGTTACCCCATTAGTTGTAGGTTGTTTAGATATCACAGAACTGACAGGAATACCTTTTTTTACAAGGGCCTTTCTTATGCCAACAATGTTATTCCACACTCCAGTTAATGTTTTCTTTGAGTAGATATCATCAGGTTTCGACTTAAGGTTATGCAGGCTTGATACGACTTCTACCCAAAGATGATGTGGTTCAGTTCTCAACTTCCACCACCATTTCATTAATAAATAAATATTGAGACTTTTTATCGTACCAATCCCTAAGCCTCCTGAATCCTTGGGTGCAACCACCTTGTCCCACGAGACCCAAATCCAGGAAAACGAAATAGGTCGCTCTTCAAAAAAAGACGTCGCTCCCTTAGTAAATCGTCAACATTCGATTTATCAGGTTTTCCAGTACACAACTTGTTCAATGTAGGGGAAGAACACACCTCAGTGATTGGTCATCATCGTTCGAGCAGGGAACAGTCACTCTCCCCCAAACCACCTAGTTCTAACAATGCGCCAAGGACCAACGAAATTAAGGCTACAGCAAAAGTTGGAGCAATGATTGGGTTTGAAATTGATGCTACGAACAAGTTGTTGGCTGAAATTCTAGGAGGAAATGGTGAGATCAACGTGCCCCAATGAATTTTCTCTCGGTCAATACTAGAGGAATTGGGGAGACATACAAGGTGGATTGGATTAGGAGGTTGAAATCGAAACACAGGGTTTCATTCTTAGCAATTCAAGAGACCCAAATAATGGAGGCGGAGAATATCGATGTGAGAGGATGTTGGGGTGCAGATAATTTTGGTTCGAGCAGAGTCAACTCAACAGGAAGGTCAGGCGGTCTTCTAAACGTGCGGGATGACACCCTGTTCCAAATCACTGAGGTGATCTCGTCTAGATATTTTCTAATAAACATTGGCCACTGGAGTGGCATAAGTGAGCTATTGATCTTTGTCAATGTTAATGGACCTCAGTCTAGCACGGAAAAGGCCAAACTATGGGAGGAATTACTGGAAAAAAAGAACTCAATTGAAGGTACATGGATAATAATGGGGGATTTCAATGTTGTGAGAAAGAAAGAGGAAAGATTTAATTCAATATTTTGTGCAAAAACTGCAAGTGACTTCAACAACTTCATTCATGAGACCAGTCTTATTGATATGAAAATGGGCGGCCATCGATTTACTTGCTTCCGTAACTCATATCTTAAATTAAGTAAACTTGATCGATTCCTAGTTTGCCCTTCTTTTCTTAATATCGTCCCTCATGCGGCTGTAACCGCTCTTCCTATAGAAGTTTCAGATCATTGCCCAATCCTAGTGTCCACGTCAAGAAAAGATAACAGACCATCCCCTTTTAGGTTCCTTAACTCCTGGATGCTTAGGGATGGGTTCGAAAAGGCGTTCATTTCCAGCTGGAATAATTTCATGGGGTTTGGTACACCTGACTTGTACCTAGCGGCCAAACTTAAGCACATTAAGAAGGGATTAAAAAAATGGCGTGCAACTGAACACCCTAGGGAGGAGGTTGAACTGTTAAGACTCAAGAACTTGGTACATCACTTGGATAGTGAAGCAGAGTCGAGGCAATTGACTGAACAAGAACTTGCTGACAGGAATCTGGGATACAAGTCCATTATTGAGGTGGAGAAAATTAGAAGTTTGGATCTTAGATAGAAATCTAGGATCAAATGGGCTGTAGACGGGGACGAAAACACACGCTTTTTCATGGATGCATTAATAAAAATAACAGGAAAAACTTGATTGATGGTCTAAAGATAAATGGTGTATGGTTCACTGATCCGACTAGCATAAAACAGGGGATATTTTCATTCTTTGCGGAGAAATTCAATGAAAAATGGCCTATTAGGCCGAAACTTGTTAGTCAGCATTTCAAGAAAATCTCTCATGCAGACTCGGAAGCTTTAGAAGAACCCATTTCATTACAGGAGATAAAGAATGCGGTGTGGGCATGTGGTAATGAGAAGGCCCCCGGGCCAGATAGATTTTCTTTTAAATTCATCAAGAAGTATTGGGATGTCCTCCTCGGTGACATAGCTGCTGTTGTCAAATATTTCGAGCTCCATGGTAAACTCGATTCCTCTTACAGTTCCTTCTTCATCTCTCTAGTACCCAAAGTCAAGGACCCTCTATTGATTAGTGACTATAGACCCATTAGTCTCATTGGATGCATCTATAAAATCATATAAAAGCTCCTCTCGCTCAGAATAGCACGATTAGTACGAACAAAAAGTATGAGGTTATTTAATATCACTTTAAAGTTACATGTAAAATAAAATGTGTACCTTTTGGGGAAATGAGTAAATCATGCACAAACACTTCAAGTAGGTAGAATCTAGGTTCTATAATAAGTGTTTACCTTCTAAATACGTTATAACCTTAACCTTAAGATTCATCTTTTGTGCAAAATAACATAGAATTTAAGCCTCCTTTAATGATAACTGATAATGATGTGTTTATCTTATATGTTGCATCATATCACAAGACTCAATAGTAAAAGTAGCTGCAACGTTTTTAAATTAGTGAAAAAATGTACAAAATAAGAATTAATTTAAAAATGCAACGTGATTGGTACATGCAAATTTAAAACTCATGACTTAAAATATGGTAAATCTTTTTCACATTACAAACGTGTTAATTGTTATACAATAATTTAGGTGGTACTTATAGTTTACAAGACAAAATAAAATTCAAGATAAATTTAAAGTTGAAAAGGGCTTAAACTTAAAAACTAAGCATCAAAGCCGAAAGTGAACAACTATGATTAATAAATAGTTTTTTGGTCATTGAAATATCATTTAGTTCTCTGATATCCAAATATTCAGACATGGGCTTAACATCCTGGAACCCAGTTTGTACCAAGCTTCTTTTAGATTCATTCAGGCCCATTTAGATATCCATAAAAGTATAAAACAAGTCAATAAAACACCACAACTTAAGGGATATTAACAAAAATACTACTTTTTCTTTTCTTTTTTTCATTTTTTTGTTTATGACCCATTTTTATGGCAATTTAACGAAAAGAATACTTGAGCCCGGAATGAGACATTCCGGACCGACTAGAAATATATAATGTGTATTTTGTTTTCTCATTTGCACCAAACACTTGTTCAAAAAACTCTCACTACACATGTCCGAAATTATCATTTGGTGTGTTCTCTTTTATTTTATGTATGTTTTTATACATTAATCCCCAACAAGTATAACCAACATCATCTTTTTTGTTAGTTTTTTATGTTTCTTGAATCAAGCAATCACTAGAATTGAAACTTTGTTTAAAAATTCAAATGATTTCTTATAGGCTTATCTTCATTTGGTATGTGTTCTTGTTTTCCCTCTCGTCTTTTGTCATGTTGCTTGATTGATTAAAGATTCATTCTTTATTTGGAGTTTTTTTGTAGCTATGATTTTTTTTTCTTTTAATAGATTAAGACCAAAGGATTTAGATTCAAATCCGTTTTAGTTTCTAGTGGCAGAATACGGAAGACAATGTGTTTGTGTGTGGAGTGTGGACGGCTGAGAGATGATTATGAGAGTGAAACGTTAAGAAAATAGTTAATGTATTTATTATAAATAAAGACAATAAGCTAATAATAATAATAATAATAATAATAATAATAATAATAATAATAATAAATAATAGAAAAAATATAATTTCACAATCATTTAACGCCAAATGGACAAGAGTTAAAATATAATTTCAAGGTTAGGGTTAATAACAAATAATATATCACATAGACCAAACATGCAATTTAGCAAAAAGTATAAAAAGTACAAGTTGGATAAATAAATAAATTAAGTATGATTTATCTATTATTTCTTTTTTCTTATTATTGAACTTCTATTTAGAATTTTAAAAATAAAAAAATAATAATAAAAAAAAAAAAAGAAGAAGAAGAAGATAAATCTAATTAAAAAACTAATCTTTTTTTCAATGTTTAACAATTTTTTTAAGAGAAAATGACAAAAATAATCATTTACACTAATTACATTACAAAAATAGCCAAAAAAAAAAACCGAAGTTGCAAAAATAGCCTTGAATTTCGCAGATGGAATAGTCCCATCTGCGAAATGGGCTTTCCATCTACGAATGTACCAGCAGCTAAAGCACAACTGTGCTTTAGCTGCTTGTACATTCGCAGATAGAAAGGTCCATCTGCGAAATGTTCCCCTAGTTTTTACTATATAAACGTTTTTTTTCTCCATTCTTTACTCTTCTCTACACAAAAACTCTCTCTATCTCGGGGCTATTTTTGCGATTTTGGCTAGTTTTTCAAGAAAATGGAGGATTATGTTAACAATCCCGCAAATATGGTTAGATTTTAACTCTTTTAATGTTTTAACTCTTTATTATTTTATCATTTATTGTATTATTTAGTGTAAAAAAATAGAAATTATAATGTTTGTGAAAGGGTAATTTTGCTGTGTTTGATAGTTTTAATATTTCTTTAATATACTTGAACTTTAAATGTTATTTTGTTAGTGGTTGTTTGAATGTACAAGTAAAGACTGCGTAGAGTGTGCATCGGGTGGTTTTACATTTAATAAAATTGTTAGAATATGCTCATTTTTTTAAATTATTAGTTAAATAAATTGTTGGAATAATGTTTACAATTTGTTATTTTTGTTGTTTGTTTGGTTGTTGTATAACTTGAAAATTGTGTATTCTTATCGTATGATTGTTTATATAAAGTGAAAAATAGTTAAATTACAGTATGTGCAAAATAGTCGTTTGTATATATATTTGTCGTATAAGTATAACATTTGTATAAGTTGAAAATTTGTCGTATATATATTGTTAGAAATTGTTTGCATTTGTCGTATAAGTTGAAATTTTGTATATATTTATCGTATAACTTGCAAAATTGTTAATTTGGTTGTCGTTTTATTTGAAAAATTGTTTGTTTATATGGTTATAAAATGTTAGTTTATATAATTAGAAAGATAAAAATTGTTTATATATTTGTCGTTTAAGTTGAAAATTTGTTTAACAAAATGTTTATATATTTGTGTATGATATTGTTTTTTATCGTAAATATATATGTTGTATAACTTGGAAAATTGTTTATATATGTGTATATTATTGTTTTTTATCGTAAATATATAAATTATTAATTAAGAATTTGTATTTGCATTACTAAAATTATTATTGTTTATGTACTTATTGCAGTTCATAATCATATATTTTAAAAACAAAATATTTTTTAGTTC